AGGTTGAAAACAAGAACGCTCTTGTATTTTTATTACACTGCAGTGTATGTTGAAGTTGAAACTGTTCTAGGGGTATCGTGATCATGGTCCCGTTGGTGCAGCTGACGATAGATTCTACTGCAGTCATTAATAATTAATTAATGATAATAACTTTAGCAATTATAATCGGATACTAACTGTATTCATTCAAAGTTATTAATTTGAATAGTTTTGCAGAATTTATAAAAAACTACTCGAACATGTTTTACCGCATCTAAATGAAATTTTAATGCAAAGTGGTAAAAAAGCAATATCCTTGAAATTATTTTATATATTTGTCATATGAATGTCCAAAATCTATTTATACTTGCATTAAAAGCACTTAAAAATGTTAAAGACATATATTTAGATTTAAAGTACTTTGTACTAGGGAAAAGGGGAAACGCAGATATAAAATATAACGTTTAATAATAGTTTAGTGCTGCCATCTGTTATCAAGTTTTGCGCTTGAAATAAACTACCATAGTGCTGCCATCTATTGATAAATTAGAAAATTAATAACTTATTTCTCATTTTGATCAAAGCACTAAGGCAATATCATATATCAGTAGCAGCCAACTTTTGTAGATAAGACAGACGGAATTTAAAATAAATAATGTAAACATGTGCATTATTTAGCATATATTTATGAATGTGTACAGCATATAATCAACTTGGGAACTGGATTATTTTTATATTCATTCGGATTATTTTTAATATTGCACTTATAAAGGCTTGCTCACTAATGATTATCTAATTACAATATGTTTTAACTCTGATTGCAATATGCTGTTAATGAATAACGGGAATGAAATTTTATGATTGCCAAAGTTTATTTATAGCTGAGAATTCTTCAAAAGAGATGAGATTTACTTACGCATTACTGCAAAAGAACAATGAGCATTTGCTGTTCAAGTTCTTTAGACAAGCTCTATAAAGAAAAAGGCCCCATAACATAAAAAGCAGTGAATTACACCAAACTGGTCTCTTGTGGTGAATAAAGTGGTTGCACACATATAGGTAAGCAGTCTCTTATATGTCCTATAAATGTTGTGAGCATTGTATGTAGCAAAATGTGGGCTTTATAAGCCCCGATACATTAAAGAACTACTCCCCATCCTTTGCAATTTTTGGTAAAATGCAGACACCAAGTTTTCTTCTATGCTGTACCTGCTGGTAAAAGCTAGATTGATGATTACCATGAAGGATAAACCATATGAAGAAGGGTTGAAAGGACAAATTTTTGTGAACTTTCACAAAGCTTTTACTGCAGAAAGCAACGAACCCATTAACATAAGAACAGATAAGCATACAGGCTTACTAAAACCCCAAATACCATAAGTACTTTTTGCTACGACATTTCAAGTTTGATGAAGTATTGTCACAAAGGACATGACAACTTCGGGATTCTCGTGAATGAAGATTTCGCAGTGCAGGCAAACAGAAATGAGAAAACAGTAAGCATGACTTTAAGTATGAGAAACATTTTTGATATAAAAAAATTTCAACATCCAAGGAAAAAAATAATAATAATAATAATTAATCAACCGAGTGTAAAATTTCGTAAAATGTTATTATTACAAGCTTTCCAAAACAGTTGTAAATAATATAAACTGAAAGCAGATTGTTCAGGACTTTTCAGTATCATTAAGCTTTCTTCCAAAATACAAAGGTCAGAAATTGCATTGCAATTTACGCTTGATGTTCCGATATCAGAAATGAGAATAATTCAAAAATCAGCAGTTTTTTCATTCCTTTTACTTCAGCATTACATTGCAAAGTTACTAAAAGCAAATAATAATTCTCTTTGGTCATTATAAAATACTTGTGAGCCTAGTTAGCTATTTAATTATGCCTTTTTAACCTTCCTTTGATTTGAAATTTCAAGTTTTGCACTTAACATAGGTCTAAAATTAAAAAAAAAAAAAAAAAAAAAAAAAAAAAACCTTAAAATTAAACTAAAAAGTTTATTAAAAGTGACATTTTAATGTGCAAAAAATTAACAAATATCAGCCATAATTAACTTTCAATGATTTACTAACTCAGATCCAGTTAAAGTGTATTCTAGTTTTACATGCTATTACATGTCAGAATAAATATATTTCCTGGTGGATTGCCACAGTTCTCTAACTAAGCTATAAATTAGCTTGCCATTGAAACTCAATCTAATTTTTATTCTAGTGAATAACAGATAGAATTAGAAGGAACAGGAAAGAATTAAAATTTTAAAAAAATAACTTGTTACCTAAAGTAAATCTTGCACATTAAGGTAAAACCCCCTTTTGCATGAACTCTATGTGAATGCATTTTTTATTCTTCTTGTTTCCCTTCCTACTTCTATCTCTCATAAAAAACTTTAATAGCAAATGTTCAGTTTCTCCTGCTGTGTTTATGAAAGCAATGATATGCAATGATCTATGTTAAGCATTCAAATGTGCTTCAGAGCCAGGTTACAGTAAATGAATATTTTCGAATTATTCCTGAGTTTATTTAACCTTTTCTTGATGCCTTTTATTTCTTAGTGCCATCTGTTGAAATTATATTACAATTCAAACTACTTTAACACAGCTTTGTAAACATTTGGATAACAGACTTTTCTTCAATGGGTTCTTCCTCTCAATGAAATTTCATAGGTTAAATGAATGGATGATTTTTTTTAAAAATATTTTGAAGTATGAAAAATCAGCAGTTTCCAGGAGATTTTTGTGTTGTGTGGTGCCACCATATTAAAAGAACTCAAAATTGATTAAAATTCGCTTTATGATACATAATTCATTTTTTCAACTATTTATATTATGATTCTGATGTAAACTATATTAATTGCAGATTCTAACTTTTACGTTTTCGGTTACATTCATTTTTTAATTTTCTTACATTTCTATACCGAATAGGGAAGGACAGCTTCAGTTTATCAAACTACTTTTAAATATAGTAGAGATAAAATGATAATTAATGTACATATTATTGTACAGATAAACTTTAGTAATTTGCGAGAGAGACTTTCTCTCACCTTACCGTAAACTTTCATGATATTATTGGAATCCTACAACCAATCACAGGAAGTCCAAAGCTCAAATTCCAGCAAGGGCACTGCATATTTTTTGTGTACTAATGCCTTTAAAAAATTAAACAATGGATTTACATATTTATTAAAACCAAATTAAATAGAAATATTTACTGGTCAAACATTTGGCCGAATATACATATAATGTTCTATCAATGTCTACAGCACGTTAAGACAATTCAGATCAAATAAAATTTAATCAGGAAATTTGAGCTCAAGATCAGTATAGATGGAATGAAATTTACACAATTTATGCTTCATTGATTCATTAATGAAACTTAAACTGAGAAAGCTTTATTTGCATAATTTAGTTTTATTGCTGCAAATTAAAATATTAACTTATTAATATGTACTGTCCATTAAGAAAAATGCTTATCAATATTTAATTTTACTGCTGAAAAGGCCAAAAATTAAAAATTTGATCATCTATCTGGGTATCAGGAGATGAGTTCAAAAACAAGGAGTCTCCCAGTTTTACCTGGAGATTTGGAAGCAATGTAATACAATTGACTGATTGTATTGATACGCATTTTGAACATATGTAATTTTAGTAAAGCCTTATAGGAAATTGTTGTTTTTTTTTTTTTTTTTTTTTTTTTTTTTTTTTTTTATAATGTAACATGAAAATCTAAAGAAGCAAAGCATTGCCTTGAATGTAATACAGGAGCAAGTCTATTATCTCGTAACATTGTGTAAATGGCTATCTCCCTAAACGGCGAGATATCGCCGAGGCGGCGATGGTTTGGAGGACTATTTTTTGTAGCCAAACTTGGAGACATTTTGATTTGTTCCCTAGATAACTGTAATGCGTTTTGTAATTGATGCTATATGTAGCTGTACGGCCATATACAGCCCTCATATGCAATTAGGAGTACTGAAATAGTGACAGTTTCGACTTTTATGTGTGCTTTGTGTTGCATCATGTTTAACGTTCTTAGTAGTTTGAAGTGTAATTACCGATTTTGCTTTGAGACACTGTAAAGAGCTGTGTGAGTACTTTTTAAGTTCAAGTTCTAGAACTGTGAAGTTCAAGTTCCACAGCTGTAAAGTGTTTGTTTTGGTAACGTAAATTTTAATAAGCTATCATCAATTTTGCATGCATTCAATCTATTACAAACCTGTAGACACGTAGCAGTATTTATACCAATAACTTCCTATACTGCCCTGGGACTCTACAATAACAAATATTTTCAAACAAAATGTAATAAATTTTAATTGGAAGAATTTGAGATTTAGCCAAATCATTAATGCAAGCAACTATTCAGAACATTACAAATATTCTGTACAGAGATTATTCAAGATTACAGTAATTTAGAAAATATAGTTAAATAATAACAGAATTTTAAAAAATCTGCTAATTTTTTTGGGGGGTGGGGTTGAAAATTCAGGCTAAAAAGCATTAGAAAAATTTCTATGGTTAAATTTAATAAGTAAAAAAACAAGAGAAAATTCTCCCTTTTATTGGTTTCTTAAAAAATGTATTAAAATCATATATTAACAAGACCTTATATTTGCTTTCCTGTTTAACGAAATCGTTATTTAAACCTTTATTTTACTAACATACATATTAAAATGGGTGGAACTGGTAAAATAGCTTCTTAATAATAAAAGTCTTGATCAGGATCTTTTCAAAAAATAAATTTTTAAGAAAATTTTAAAAAATATACTGCAGCTGGGTAATTTTAATTATGACAAAAAAGTCTTTTAAAAATACTTCCTTACATTTAAAATTTTACTTCTCAGATTTAAATATTTGTACTGAACTCTTCAAAGCTTTTGAAACTAATAAGATTATTTCTGTGTGTTTATGCATTTCTTTTCACAAGTTAAGCCATTCTGAAATAAAACAAAACTAAACTCCCAACTTTCACTAATGATATATTAAATCAAAAATTAAGTTACTGAAATTCAATAAATATTAATTTTTTTATTTATTTTTTTATTTTGTATGGAAAATACTATGATGACTATTTACAAAAATGCAAAAAAATATGTATACAAAAAATTGAGAATTGATAATTCATAATTATTAAACTTCTGCTTCTTCATTTGTGTCAGCTACAAGAACTTCTCTGTTTTCATAAGTCCAAAATCCATTCAAGTCTATCAAGATACTTACAATAGTGTCACCTTGCCCACTAAGAATAAAAAATTACAAGAATTAAGTTTTTTTGTAGGACTAGCACAACATTTCAGAGTTTCATAATGATAATTTTTTATTTTTAACACAGTTCCTATTTTTTTTTTTTTTTTTTTTTTTTTTAATTTCAGATCATATTTAATTAATCTCCTTTTTATAATAATACAACAACTGCAAGTGAAAAAACAATTGGCATTATTATATCAGGACGCTATAAAACTAATTTTGCCTTCTCTCTTTTCTTATCATCTTAATGAAAGGAACATCCTCCCAACTTTCAGAGAGGGAAGTACAAATTGCATTATTTGAAACTACCATCAACTCCTATGATTTGGAATGCTTTGAATCTATATCTATTTGCTTGTAGATCTACCACTTACATGGTTTCAAGATATGTTTACATTGCAGCAAATGTGACATACATTTGTTAATTACTTATATACTAGTATTGTGGGGAAAGGCAACGACCATAGTTGATAACACACATTTATTACTATTTACAAATATAGATTACATTAGGATTACAATTAATGAAATGGTATACGAGCGATCGAGCGACGTCTGCTCCGCTCGCCAGCTAATCCTCGTCCTCTTCCGAAGGCGGGACACATGCTGACGCAATGCATACGTCTACAGTAGGGGATTAGGGAATATCATGACATAAACGTTTCCCCCATTCGGCCATCATGACGGACAGGCGACCTCGCCTGAAGCAACATAGTATATCATCAAATTTAAAAAAAAATTATAATATAGTAACATAGGTATGAAAAAAATAATCTGTAGATACAAAGCTGAGGATACTACACAAATGAAGCAAAAAAATAGATTAAAACACCACCACAGCAGTTAACTAAAAATAAAAAGAACATTAGTATGACAAATGAATATAAAAAGTTGACATGAGGAAAAAAAAAAATATTAGAAAGTTCTCAGGTGTCATCTGTCCCAAACTCAGGAGGACCTATAATGCTGACAGTTGTATAAAAATCAAGTGATAAGTTCAATATTGTTGGACCAGGGTTTCATGTATTCAGCACAAGTAGATGTTTTGGATGGTCCGTCGAAAAATGCACACTTTTCCACATCATATGTGTCATTTTGTTTGAGCCTGGTGACTTTATAAGGTCCGAAAGAAATTTCTGTTTGAGTTTTTTAGACCAGGGCCAAACTGAGTTCTTTGATAGCCACGAGGTCATGAAGTTGAAATTTTTTGTGCCTGTTTTCGTCGCAAATTATAAGTACGGCGGATTTTCGTCTTTGCACTTTAGAGATTTGCTGTTTTGCGTCCTTACGGAGATCGTTACGTTGCTGAATGAATGCAGAAGATTTGATCTCCTCGTCGATTAGAGCAGCGATGTTGATGTCGTTTTGCGATTTCATTTTAGTCCTAAAGAATTTTAGTCATTAAAGTCCTAAAGTTCAAAGGGAGTAGAATTGGAGCTTTAGTAGAATGATGCTACATTGAAAAGTTGAATTAATAATTTGTTGCACAGCGGGAACATGGCGATACCATTGCTCAGGGTTGGTTATGGAGAGTTTAGAAAGGACAGCAATAATAATGGAGTTCAAACGCTCAACTTGACCGTTCGATCGTGGGAGGCCAGCTGTTATAAGAACGTGCTTTATTCTCTGTGTGTCACAATAGTTTGCAAATGCAGTGGATTTGAATGCAGGGCCTCGATCAGAGATAATCCGTGAAGGATTTCCGAAGACTAATCTTTGAGATTCCAGCCGACTGATAACTTCATCTGCGTCTGTAGACTTTGTCGGATAAAGCCACACGAATTTAGTAAACGAGTCTATAACTACCAAAATATGTTTGTATTTCTTTGATGTTGCGGCAAGGGGACCTAAGTGGTCGATATGGTACGTGTGCAAGGGTGCGTCGTCTTTGTCAATGGGGTGCAGAAGTCCGTCTTGCTTGCCACGCTTTCGATTATTGAGGATGCATGGGATGCAGTTATGGATACACCGCTCAATTTTTTCTTTCAAATTTGGGATAAAAGATTCGTTGTTTAAAAGTTCTTGAGTGCGGATTACGGCGAAGTAGCCTCGTTCGTGAGCTGTTTTAATGACATTTGCCTGCATATCCTCAGGCACCACAAGTAAGTCAATGCCGTTGACGTTTTGTACAGGAGATTGTTCTTAACGAGAAAGTTATCATACGAAGGTGTCGTTTGAAGGAGTGCTTTAATAGCCGTAATATGCTTGTCGGTTTCTTGTGCTTTGCGAAATTGGAGAAGGACACTGTCTTGGATAGTCATGCAAGATAGACTGCGACTGAGGGCATCCACGTGAGCCATCTTTGAGCCGGTATGGTGCTCAATTTTGTACTCAAAATCTTGGAGATATAAAACCCATCGGGCTATTCTCGAATTGAGTTCCTTTTTATTTAAAGTTTGTACAAAAGCGTTGCAGTCAGTGATAATTTTAAAATGTGAACCAAGGACGTAAATACGGAACTTTTTTAAAGCTTCAACATTGCAAGGACTTGGAGTTCATAACTGGTGTATTTACGCTCGTTGTCCGATGTTTCTTTGACATGTAGTAGACAGGTGGGGTGAAAGTGTTATCGTTCATAGATTTTTGTAGTAGGACTGCCCCCAAGCCATCAATGGATGCGTCGGTATGAATTTCGATAGGACTCTTTTGATTAAAAAATACTTAAAAAACTGGTTGTTGAGAAAGCAAATATTTTAATCTGTGAAATGCGGCTTTCTGATCAGCATAAATTGAAAGGGGGTGTCCTTACGAAGGAGATCACTAAGGGGTTTTGCAATGCTAGAATATGAGGGGATGAATTTCCCTAAAAATCCCGTGAGACCGAGAAAAGCGTTGGACGTCTTTCGTACTCTTAGGTTGGGGTAGTAATTACAGATTTGTTTTCGAAGGGGAAGGAAAATGTTTACCACCTTCGACGATATGTCCAAGAAATTCGATTTTTTTGTGAAGAAATTGACATTTGCGAAAATTAACTTCTAGACCATATTCACTAGCAACTTTGAGTACTTGATTGAGACGATGAATGGCCTCATTTTCGTCTTTGGCTGGAATAACGACATCGTCTATGTAGGGTAAAACATAACCTTTGACAATTAAATTCATGAAAAAGATAATTTATAAAGCACTGGAATACTGAAGGGCAATTTGAAAGACCAAAGTGGCATTCAAAGAAACTGGAATTTTGCATTGTGAGTTACAAAAGCTGTATATGGTTTACTTTCATCCACTACTGGCACATGAAAAAAGTCGTTACGTAGGCTCAAGAGTACTAAAAATTTGGGCGTCTTGAAGTTTATCAAATGTCATCAATAAAGAGGGAGGAAAATGATCCTTAATTAAAAGTCGATTAAGTTTCCTATAATCGATGCAAAACACGGGGTGTACCGTCTTTTTTACGCACCACCAGAACTTGACTGGCATATGGAGATGAACAAGGTTCAGTAATTTTAAGTTTCAACCATTCATTTATTTGTTTGTCAACAATTTCCGATTCAACAAAAGGAAGGCGTCTAGGAGGGTGAAAAATCGGTTTATGATCAGATAGAGTGATATTAAGTTTAATATCTGTCGTCTTTGTTTTAATTGGGACATAAGAATTCAGCAATTGTTCTGCCACAGCACGAGTTTCTTTGGAAACATTTGAACCAATACCAAAAGCTGGAACATCGTCATTTATTGCAAAAATGAAAGATTCAGGAGTAGTTTCAAAGCATTGCTTGGGAGGTTTTGAAAAATATATACCATCTGGTTAATAGTTAATTTAGCATTTTTAATTACATCACATCCTACAATAAGAGAAAACTGCATAGAATGATTTGGAACAACTCTAATATTAGCCGGAAAGTCCTGGTTATCAATGTTGATAATGGTTTGAAAATAACCAATAATAGGAATTTTCGAGAATCCGAAACCAGTTAACACTCCAGAATTATTTGAAAGTGGTGGGGAACCAAGTTGAATCCATGTGTTTTCGTTCGTAATGTGACCTCACTTCCAGTGTCAATTAATCCAGAAACTGGGCTATTGAGTATAACGACAGTTTTACACATATTACCGTAAGAGGTTTATACTGTGTTTACTGCGGCAGGTGGAGTTGAAAACTCATTTGGAGTAGTGGGGCGGCAATTCATAGATTTGTGTCCAAAATGACCACAAGTTGGACACTTTGGGCCAAGAGAACAATTAGGACAGGACCGTGAGAAGTGTCCTGCCTCATTGCAGTTAAAACAAGTTTGTGGTTTAGTTTTAGATAAACCAGTATTATTAAATTTCGTGTGTCGGGTTGTTGGTCTGAATTTTTCCGTCCAGTACCACGTCTGGGGCCATTATACATATTTTAAAAATTTGATGGATGAGAGATATTTGTATGTCTAGTCGTAACTACAGTTTCATAAGTGCGTACCTTTTCCTTGAATTCAGAATATGATTTTGCACCGTAGAGAATAATTTTATCGGATGGGGTACCTAGTATTCCTTGAATGGTATACTGAATGACAGGAGCCTCGTCGATAACACCGTCATCACGATTTGCAATTTCGCGCATTGCGATAAAATATTACATAAAGCTTTTATTCGAGCGCATTTTTCTTCTTTCGAGTTGTTTATGAATTTCAATAGACGTAATGTTATCGGAGAACTCATTAAGTTATAATGTTTTAAACATGTCGTATGAGTTGGGATTCCATTGTGAAAACAAAAAAGTTTTAGCAGTACCCACAACAAGTCGTTTCGCAAAAAACTAATTTTTGCTGGTCGGTAAGATTTGGGAATAATTAGAAATTATCCTCTATATTCGTTGAAAAAAAGCACGGACTGAATAGGATCATGCCTGAAAAGTTTCTGCAAGTATTTGAAAGATCTCTCAAAATAAACCATAAATCAATGACTCATCTCGCGAATCTCGGTGTTCGCCGTCGTATAAACACCGGAGCGACTCGAATTCAAATTGTATTACTTCCGCGTCAGAAGAAACAACCCGATTTAGGTTTGGCGCCTGTGGAGGGAGGGGAAGGGGGAACAGAAGAACTTAGACCTACAGGCGTCGGTCCACTGTCGGTGTTTGAAATTGAATAATCGTCATCGGATAAAAAACTAACATCTAGGGAATTGTAAAAATCGGTCAGATTAGTGAGCGCATGAAAATTTTTTTCACATAAAACATCTTTATTAGTGGAAGCTTCCAAATGCAATAAATTCGCCACCTGATATAAAATCTGATAAAGAAAAATCTTTTAATAGAAGTTCTTTATGTTTTGCCAAATCGAAACTGTCCTGGGAAGGCGGCAAAATTTTCGCATTCTCTTTCGCGAAGAATGATCAAAATCGGAAATATCCGAGCACGGTATTAAATAATTTAATAACTCGTGTTGTGCCATATTTAAGGAGAATTCGCTATCAATGGGATATTACCTAATTTTAGGGCCATAAGTTTTAGGGCCATAAACAGTAAAATAGGGACAATATGAATATGAAATAGGGTAGGTATGAATGAGAATTTAACAGGAATAAACACAGTTTAAAATCGTAATACTAATAAATTATGAACGAATCAGAGGGGAAAAATGGCCTACCTAACTTCGGAGGCAGTCCTTATAATCCAATATACGATATCTTGGCCAATCCGAATGTAATCCAAAATCGAATTTTCGATTTAACGTCCAAAATCAGAAGAATGGACAAGGCTCAGCATGTAACATCATTCACATATGTCGTCCAGCTTGAAGAATAATTAAATCGTCATAAAGGCACGTCTTCATTCACATACTTCGTCTCGGCTTAAAGAAGAATATTAATTTCGTCATAAAGGCACGTCTTGCCTTTGTTAGCTTTCTGAACGTCTTTAGTGATTGCTGGTGTCTAGGGTTCGATTATAACGCATGCACAAAAGGCACGGTCGAGCCCCCAAAATGTGGGGAAAGGCAACGACCATAGTTGATAACACACATTTATTACTATTTACAAATATAGATTACATTAGGATTACAATTAATGAAAATGGTATACGAGCGATCGAGTGACGTCTGCTCCGCTCGCCAGCTAATCCTCGTCCTCTTCCGAAGGCGGGAAACACATGCTGACGCAATGCATACGTCATATAGTAGGGGATTAGGGAATATCATGACATAACGTTTCCCACAGTATTGTATTATGTTCTTCAGGATGCCAACTAAGAGACCAAAAGGAGGAGAAGTTTGTGCTACTGATAGCAAGCATGTAGTAAATTAATAAAGATATTTCCACGATGGTTAAATTTATGGCAGCGTCTATAAATGAATGTTGGAAGTACCATAATTTTCTTTGGGAAGCATTGAACAACAGATCTTTCAGTTAGTTACTGAATAATTCATTAACTGGATTAAAATCACTAAAAATCTGAGTACTGTTATGTATTAATCGCTATTATTTTCAAGCTTAAGTTTTGCTTACTATTTCAGTTTTGATCTGTAATTGAAGTTCTAATTTTTTTTTTTTTTTTTTTTTTTTTTTGCTTTAGTTGTTTAAAGTTGGTTGTAAATTTAAACTGTAACTTTTATAAACTTTAAAATTTAGGTTTGGTTGCTTTAAAAGTTTTCTTGAGTTGAAGTTGTTTAGTTTGAGTTTGAGTTTAGGGACTTAAGTTTATTTATTTTGACCCTTAAGGTTGTTTAACTTTTAACCTATTTTAAAGTTGTTGCTGCACTTTTAGTGTGTTAATTTTTTTTTAAATTTAAGTTAACTTTTTACCCCTCTTTCTATTAAAGTTGTCGAACACATATTTTCTGAGTGGCGGTAAGGTAAATCAATAGTAACTGTAATTCAATCTGGGTTATGAGTGTATACTTAAAATGCTGCTGAAGAAACAATTTATATAGTGCTGAAATTTTTTTTAAAAATTATATTGTTGTGTAATTAGTAGTTTAATTTTTAATTTCCCGAAGTCATTTGTGTTGACTTGGTTCTAAAAATTTTCACACCATCGGCTTGGAATTCATTCGTCCAACCGTCGGCTTGGAATTCATTCTCGGAATCCTCTTATCAGAGGATTACTGCACCCCGAAAATTCTTTCGCCCAAACGTAAAACCGTATGTGCGGGTGACGTGTTGGATGTATACACCATCTGGAGTTTCCCGAAAAGAGGACCCTGTTTGCTGGACAGTGCTTAGCAGGGAAAGGTTTCTACAGCGTATTTTTTAAGAGGGGGAAAATAATCGTTGGGTAGAAAGCTCTACATGGTTGACTTGGACCTCGATGCGAGGCTAGATTATCCCCCCTTGTTTTCGTCTGCAAAGATTGTTGACACATTGGTGTGGCCTTGGAGGCCGAATGATTGAACTGCACTAACTGGCTCTTCTGGTAGTCGGGAAACCCCTTCCCGTGAAGATTTCTCTGTTTGGGTTGCTCGACTTGGCTTCCTGCTGATCACCTTCTACGCCAAATTTTCAAAAAACGCGCCAGCTATTAAAGTGGATGTGCAGTGTTTTTGAGAGGGGAGATGAGGAAAACATTTTCGATTACACGCTTTTCTTTCTGGCGGAGCCAGGGAGACTTTCTCGAAGAAAAAGAACGAGAGATGACTTCTAAGATGCAGCAGTCCGGAGTTCCTGGTGAGATGAACGATTAAACAACCTACACAGAAGAAAGGGATATTGAATCAAGAATTCCTGAGTTTTACTGACTTCAGTATGGCCGGTGTTTCGGGGAAGATCGGAGTCCTAAAGGTTGGAAGCGGTTGTGGGGTGGAAAGCCTGGTTTCCGAAAGGGGTGCCCATTACTAATTCTCATATTGTTTTTATTCTTTCTTGCAGAAGTATCTTCAGACATCTAACTATTCTTACTTGCATCGTGACAGAATCTGTCCGAGTTTTTTGCCTGTATCAAGTACCCAAAATTTTGTACAATGCCTCCCAAACGGGAACAGTGAATTGTTAAATTTGTAAAGAAGGTATGTAAACTTCAGTTGTTTCTTCAGATATAAGGATGACTGGTCACCACCATTTTTAAATGTAACTGTATTCTTACTATTTTCTCCTTAATAAACATTAGATTGATTTTACCTACTTAGCCTTGTAATTATTTTAATTATTTGACTTTGCACTGGACCATAGCTTTTGAACGGGTTATTGCCCACCATTATGTCTCACAATGCAACTCCCTGAAATTTTTTCATCATTCATTTCATAAAAAATGTTTATTTTTTATGTTACCCTATGATAATTACTCGAACTCTGATGACATGTGATTGATACGGTATTGGTTGAAATGTTTTTGTTATGTTACCCATACACATACATTTACCTACCACAAAATTTGGTATGAACACTGTTTATAGAAATTACACAGAAATGATGTTAAGTAGTAAATAATATATTTGAAATTATATTGTGTGATATTGATATAACAGTACTAAATATATCACATCTTTTCTGGGAGGCCAGGGGTTGAACTCCTATGCCCGGTTTTGAGGGGTGAGGGGGTTCTTAGTGCCATTAAGTTGACGGAAAGAGAAATGCCCAAATTATTATTATTATCATGTCTTTTCTAGCACCAAGTAAGGTTACTAGGCATTTTTTTTATTCCTACACATCATGCTATTTTGAAAATGCAGCTGTACAGTGACTACATCTGTTACATGGAGAGATGTATGACCACCTAGATGACAAACTGGTTAGTAACCCTGGCTGCTATACCAAGTCCCAGAAAAGGCATGGATGCTTGTAAGTTTTACTGTTTGTGTGGGACAGGAGCACTCAAAATACATGGTGAGCAAAAAGCCTCTCAAGAATTCGATGGTAGAGAAAATGGGGTGGGTGATCTGCAGTGTTTTCCCTTAAAAATGTTATCAACTACACAAACATACAAGGACTATACAACCAAAGGGTGACATTCTGGTGAGGTGATGCATGGTGTTCTTTTCTACAGGTACTTGGTAAGATGCATGGTGAACCTGATTTTTTTAGACAACATAATCACAAGCTGAGATTTCTTGGTAAGCTGAAATACAGATATGTGATTCTTGGTACATTAAAGAGCCTCCATACACTGAGATGTGCAGAAAAGGAGCAGACTTCAAAAAAGCAACAACCAGTCTGCAAGGATTCGCTACCTAAATTTCTATGATAGGTTCAGTGGTGGTATCATCTGTTGATAAAAATTGGAAACATAATAAGTTCCAATGGACCATGAAATAGGCAAATATTTAAGCAACTAGAATAAAAGCACATTACGGGTTTGGGTGCTGAATATGTCATGTATTTTCTAAAAGCAAGTAAGATCGCTTATTAGGTGAAAGCGTAAATCACATTAATTGCTACTACTATTCAAACTGCAACTAGCATGGGGTCATGGAAGTCCTCAATAAAGGTGCAGCATTACTGAAGATAAGAGAAGAAGAAATATGTCATCCTGAATGTCAGATAGTCTCCCTTTCTTCCCACCTCTACCATTGTTTGCACCACTATTCTCAGTGCTATGCCTGCCCCTTAGTTACAGTCTGAACATAGGTAGAAATGAATAATCATGTGATCATCTTTATGTTGCATTTAATCCTGCAAAAGGCAAATAACCTGTAATGTCACAGAACAGATTACAGTATAACAGTAAAAGTATGAATTCAAAAATTAATTAATACATTCTAAATGAATATTTTGCATATTAATACTAATATTCAAATATACTAACCACAGTATTAAATCCTGTAAAGTTACTTTCAATGGATCAGCAGGATTTATCATATCAAAAATTTCATCTTTAACATCTTCAAATGAAACTGGCTCTTGTCCATGTTCTTTCATTTGTTCTTGAATGGCCTGATAAAAAAGAATGCATAATAAAATTTAGTATCATATTAGGTCAACCAGCCTAAAATATTATCTAACAGCAAAACTATGCTGAACATAAATATAAACATGAGACATGCAATATCTTTTCTGACCATGATATCCATCTTTCCAACATGAGAAAAGATTTATCCTTAAAAGAATTCATAATAATAATTTACAGAACAAAATCCCAATAATACAATTATACACTAAAAATTTACTGTAAAGTTAATATATATTAAAAGATTAAAGACCCTCCTTTATGGATAGATATAGTGGCTAAAATATATATATACTTTGAAGTAACCGAAAATTATATTTGCTGCTGATAAAAAATGGATATATAAATAAAATGATTCAGTATTCTTGTAGACACTAAAGACAGAAGACAGACACTAAGACAGAAGTTTGGAAATACTATAAATAATCTTATAGTCCTTCTCAATATTATGCATTTGTTTATTTAACCACACTCATAAACCTAGAAATCATAAGTTAGCACTTTTTAATTTATCCTCTCCTTCTAAAGAAAATTTGATGAGCCACTCTAACACATTAGCCAACTTGCATTTCAGCAAAGGATTACTTCCTCAAATATAAATCTTCCTCAAGCAAAAAAAAAAAAAAAAAAAAAAAAAAAAAGGGGGGGGGGGACAACAACAAAAGCAAGTATCCATACCTCTCAGTTCTTTATTAAACAATTTATTAGATCAATTTTCCTCAACTGAATTCTTTGTTTCATGACGACATAAATTCAATTTCAGCCATTTTTAGTTTACATTTTTTATCTGTATAAAAATGTGTATGCACACTGTTTAATGTTTTAAAAAAAGTTTTTAAAAAAAAATACAATCCAAAAAATTTAAATCTCAGCATTGCACTGGGATTTCACAAATAAATAAATAAAAATTTAACAGCTCTTGCATTTTTTACTCGACTCTAAAAGAATACAAATGCAAAATACTAAAAAGCATATTGCTATAGAAAAAGTTTACCATTTGATTAAAACTAATTATAATTCCTTTTTAAATATATAATTTCATCTTTTACCCTCACATTTTATTTTTTGATTTAGAGTTGGCAATTCACTGTAATCTAATAGGAAGCAGAGTTAAACAAATTATTACATGGTGTTAGAAAGCTAGTTTATTTATTATTAATGTATTTAATAACAACAATGAAATAATACTTGTTACGAAAATATTATTAAATACAGATAAAATTACTTTTCAGATAATTCACTCTGCTTACAAGCTTTTTTAAATATGCAATATAATTAAAAGATCTTGGCCTTATTGACTGGCAGACAAAAACGTTTTGGAAAAATGATAATAATACTCTTCTTCAGCTCCGGGTGAGAAATAAAAAGGAAGGCTTTATATTTGATTCTACCTCTTGGTGCTCTCAATACTTTATTCAGAAAATCATGTAAGTTATTCCACACCATACATTATTTCCACACCAAATGCCTACATTCTATAGTCTTCCTGTTTTTACTTAATGGAATTTATAAAATGGTAAATAGTTAAAAATATTCCTCACTTTCTTCATTCTTTATCTTCATTTGCCATTTTCAGATAAATGTTATATAGCTAAAGCTACAAACATACTTGCTATCTGAGTCAAAATCTCTCAATGTAAAAAAGGTCTTTATGGATGCTTTAATAACTTGCCTGTTTTTCCTATGTGCCACATGGGGCTGTTTTCAAGCCTTTGTTCATTTGCTGGGGCATACAGGCGGTCTCCTTTCTCCTTTGCTTTTAATTTTTTGCCACTATCTTTTCTATTTTTAAAATCAAATTAATTGTATAGATGGCAATGCAAGAAATTTCTATAGGTTATATGTTCACAACTTTTAGAATGACTTTCTAGATTATGTCAGTCTAATCAATGGTAAAATTAATTATTGCATTATGGAAAATGTATTTATTTTTAAGTATACAAGAAATAAACTGTGGACATATTAAAATAGTAAAAATAATCATACAGTCTAATTATGTAAATTGAAAAATCTAGACTAAATGCATAAATATAGTTCTAGAAGCATAAATACAGTTTTGAAAGAATACTCATATTCTAAAGACTAAAAAATTACATTTCTAAATTTTCCTCTTCATAATATTTGAAGCATTTAAATAAACACGGAAAAAATTTATTTTAAACAAAATGAGCATTTAGCATTTGAAAAAGTCTTTGCCTGCTATTTGAAAACAAAAAGAGGGCATTTCATTTAATGTTAAGAAAGTAAGAGCTAAGCAACTTGCCTTAAAAAAAGGTCTCAGCTTTTGCTAAGTAACCTGTCATAAATTCAAACAATGACAAGAGTAACTATAAAAATGCTTTGCAAATTATTGTTTGGTTTGGTTAATTTAATTATGGCAAAGCACATGCGGGCTATCTGTCTAAAGAGAGGGATGCTTTATAGAGGACTTTCTAAGAGAAACTGGCTCATATACACATGGACACATGAGGAAAACAACAAAAACGGCCATGCAGCCAGCCCATTCACCTGGAATCAAAACCAGGTCAGAATAACCAGTGTTCAGCAACTTTACTGCTCAGACACTGGTGGGCCTGCATAAATTACTGAAGACATGTTCATCATTTCATTTTATAATGTAGTATTCAACATCCAGGTAAAAATAATTGTAAGTAATTTCTATGCATAAACTACAGTTTCATAAATTGGAAATTCAAGGAAACATATTTACCCTGAAGAAATAATTAAAGTCAAATACTGTTAAATAATTCTTCTGCTCAATGTCTAAAAGTCTAAAAAAATACATTAAAGCTTGAGGTTCTTTTCTGTTTTCCAAAGCAAGTACGAAATCCAAATATGTCTTATAATCCTGCAAATTAAAAACATAATATACAACTTTTAATAGCATTAGGTTGGGCATTAGGTAAATTGAATAATAAAAAGTTAGTGTTAGTCAAACTGCTATGTAAATAGTTACCATTTCTCTATCATATGTAAGACATTCTTGGAACACTCTTTGAATAAAAACTGGAGTCAAAGTTCCAGTTCCATACCTAGAAGATAAATAAAATGGAGAGTGCTTAACAATATTCTTCTATAAAAATGAATTTGTTTGTGTTTACTTCAATTCAGTTTTCATATATTGTGAATTATAAAATGTCTTATTATTCACGCAGTTTCATTACCAGTGGTGAACTATGAACATTTTAACAAAGGACTTGCATTTTATCTTATTAAAACAAATTTTATCATTTCAACATTTTACATTATCGATCAAATTCTAATTAAATGTTTTATTTATCAGACAGAAAATAGTAATAATTATGCATAAACAGAAAGATATTTTAAAATTAAAAAAATCACAAGATGATGGAGAAATCACATAAAATAGTCAAAGAATTTAATTATGTGACACAATTATGGTATAAGTTGCCACACATTATTTCCTCCTTTCATGTGAATTATTCTAGTACCAAGGTCTCGCAATGATTTTTCAAAAAAGTTTTTAGATAAGGTTTTGATTAAATTTTGTTAAAGGTTTCCTATTTAGGGTTGTCATTAAATCTGAAATATGTTGCACGAAGATGATCTTATAACTGTGAAATATTGTTACTGAATTGAAACATTCATCTCCAGTGTGTGTTGGTTTCCATAAGGACTTCCTTTATACTATTAAGAGTTTCATTATGCAATTTTTCTTGTTAAAGCCATTTCAATAAAATCCTAAAAATTGTTTATTTTTATTTCCATGCCATGTAAGTTTATATATTTTCATTTCTTTCTGGACATTGATATGGAACTTCTTCCATGTTCCATGTCTCTGAATAATAAAACACTAAAAATTGTTTTGATTCTTCATTGTTGAGTTCTTCCCCATTTACACTTTTTATTTTATAAAAGCTTTGCTTGAATAACCTATTTTGCAAAGAAATTGCAAAATACTAACTTTTCACAGAATAATTTTTAAAATTTGCTTTTACATTCAATGGTTGATCCTTTAAATTCCTTTGATTTTACATGGAATTAATTAATTTTTTCTGAAAAGGAAGGGCTCACAAATTAGAGACAAATTTAATATAAACTAACTGTGAATACAGAGAATAAATATAGACATAAATAATATAGGTTTTGTAGAAACATGGATGGACATCAATTTTACAGAAAAAACTCAATATATATAATGTCTACCAAAAAATTATGTCTGTTGAGAATTGGGGAAAAAAAGATCTTTTATACCTTTAATAATATTTATTACACAATAAAATATCCACTGTTACTTGACTTCTTGCCAGCGTGAAGGCAATTTTTAAATACCATTTTTTGAAAACTGTCTAGTTCTTAGAAGAGGTTCTCAAGTAATTGCTTGACTGACATCTGCTTTAGTTTTGATTTATTTTCCCCTTAAAACATTTTTTCAAAGAGAAAAACAAGTGATATTTGGAGAGTGCTAAATATGAGGAATATCATGGATATAGCAGAATATCCCAGTTCAGCTCTCGAATTTTCAGACAAGTCGGCAAATCAGCAAAGTGGTCTGGCATTATCATAATACATATATAATATATATCATAATACATATATTATCATAATACAGTATGATGTGCTGTACAGCTTAAGATAAGCAAGTTCTAATATACAAAAAATTTAGACTAACAAGCTGAAGCAATAGCTTTGAACGAAGCTTACATGATGTTTTAGAGATAATCCACTTTGCCTTACCAGTTATCATCCAGTCAAAGAAAGGTTCTCTTTTTCTTTTTCTTTTTTTTTTCAAGCAAGCAGAAATGTATATAAGAAGACTAAATCATGCATATTTTTCTAACTTTACTCATGAGGCAGCTACCTGGAATATTTATAGACTAATTCTAGTTCCCAAATATCGTCTGATATGGTTTGTAGAGCTGATTCAAGTTTTTCTGCATTCAGCTATGTTGTCTTAAAGGAATATTGCTTTGTCATGTCCTTGACAATATCATAATTGATCAAAGATGGCCATCTAGAACATGGCTTATGGTTAAAGTTAAAATTACCAACTTCAAACTTTTCTTAACTATTTCCTGAATGTTCTGTTCAAAACTGCATCTTCACCTAAACTTTCACTAAATTTTGAAACAATTCTGCAGCATTTCTTCCATCTTCAAATTCGTTCAAAATATAGTGTCATAAATGAGCTTTATAGGTAGCCATGTTTATATTACAAACATGTGCCTTACTCTATAATGTCATTAAGCACATTTGTTTCAAGCTAATTTAGAAGAACATGTGCATATTAAGAGAGACAACAATTTTAAACATTCAGTTTTTTACAAATATATGTGTCAAAGGAACACGTCTGCATGTTAAAAGTTGAAATAGCACTGTCGGACAGAATTTCCTGCAGACCTTTTACAACTAGCATGAATTTCTCTTCTCAACAAGAAAAAATATAAATCTCCAGCCCATGTCAATCTTCTTCAAGATGCATTGAATTTTCATAAAGATCCAGTAATAAACTAAAGTTGAACTTTTCATATTTTAAATATAATTTTTTGTCAAAATTATACACATGTTAATGATTTCTATTGGCTATGAGAACTTGTGCAAACAGCCAACAGAATGTCATTCCTCCTCCCTCTTCAAGATTACCTTAAGTATAATCCTCACAGAATTTCTCATCTAGTTATGTGTAATATAAACACTACTTCTTGATCATATTAAAATTCTGTCATGGTTTTGGGTAACCTGAAAACCAATCAAAATCTATTTTCTGCATTTTACAACATAGGTACTGTAGTATTCAAACAGCTAGTCTCATATTGTTTCAAAATACTACAAATGTTAGCAGATAAAGTATTTAGGAGGCAAAAAATGTTTATAAGGCAATGTACAATGTCGCCAAAAAGCATTTACGTGTTACTCCATATATGCCATGTAGCACACGTGTTTGAATACATACGGATTTGCATTTCTGAAATTAAATGGTGAGTTTCTTTATTCATATTTCTTTTTTCCCTGAGTGTATTTGTTTTCGCCATAATGATTCATAATGGGATCATGGAGTTTGCCGGCTGATGAAAAAGAAAGCATTGCATTTTTACAGAAGCACGCACTTGCCCAACAAAAGAGAATGCAAGCATTCATATTCCATGAAGTTGGTAGTTCACTGAATTTTATGGAAATGTAAAATAAAAACTAAAAGCAGAATGCTAGACAGCAGATCTGTTTCAAGCTTGTTTGAAGATAGCTGTATCTCATTTGTGACAGCTATTCACTTTATTTATTATCGAACAGAGAGTTATATGACAATGAATTCCATGAAGAAAAACCAGGATTATGCATAAACAAAGCTATTCGTTGAAGTAATTCCAGAAGTGTGTGTGTCTTCTATGAAAAAAGTATACGAAGGCAGCACTAGATGCATCATTGAAACAGATATAAGGGTATCCAAAAAAACATTTCGCTCCAAAGTCAGCAACGAGTTTGCAAAAGCTGCTAATAAGTTTGCAACTTTTTGGTGGGTATGCGAATAATTAAAAAGTATTTAACTTTCTACATTCAAAATAAATACTTATGACTGATGTAATCCTTAACCATAACTCCAATCTAATATTAATTAATAATGAACTTATAATCACGTAACTGTTAAGAATTCTAGAATGGGGCTTAAGATAATGGCAGACTAATTTCATGGAACTATGTAATCTATGGAAGTGAAATAGTATAGAAACTTGTGATAACAAAGAAGCCTTCACTGGATATAGTATACTGTTGAAGGTTCTAGGAATAGCCTGGAACACAGAGAAGGATTTGATTTTTTTTCAAAAAAACTTTATAAACATTGTTACCAACAGATGCAGTACAAAATGCTTCATTTTGCAAATATTGGGTCACATTTTTCACCTAACTGGATTCACTAGACCAGTTGGTTCAACTTAAACTATTACTTGAACAGCTGGAATGCATTGAAATGATAAACTCCCATCATCAGTGGAGCACAGTTGAATTTTTGAATAACACCACAGTTCCTAGATATTATCTTTCTGAATTCAATTTAAATAATTTTGTTTTATTTAATATTCTTTCTTTTTTACATGCATCTATGGTATCATATGCGTTAGTAATGTATTTAAGAGTAGTCACATGAGGCAATAGAGTTATTGCTAAATTTATATGCTCCAAAAAAAAAAATGTTGCCCTTTTCTAATTAATCTATCACACTCCCACATTTGGAATTATTAGGATATTTATTATCTTCTGGACTTGAAAGTAATTAAGCATTTGAAATTTGATGTGCTACTTCTGGATTGTACCACTACTTGACTACCAATATATGTATGTTTTACATAAAAGGTGTAAATACAAATCCTTTGTAAAGAACAGAGTAGAAGAAATTCACAATTTGATCGATCCTAACAAGTTGGATACTTGGTAGGAATTTAGTCTTGGGAAGGAAAATCCTGCAGACATCTTTTCCAGGGATATTACAACCTCAGACTTAGCTGAATATTTTTTTGTGGTGGCATGGACCATCTTGCTTGTGTTAACCCTATGAGTTTTGGTCTGATAAGATTAAAATTGTGAATCCCACTGGGGATTTAGAATTATGAAAGGAATTTGAATTTTTAACACAAAATAAATGTGCAATGGAGAATTCTCAGTTTGTCTGAAATTTAAACGATAGTAACCTCACTAAGGTATTGACAATTATGGTATTAATTAAAAGATTCGTTGGTAAACTTAAAAAAAAAAAAAAAAAAAAAAAGTAGAAATGGAACCTTACACTGCAGCTGAACTCTTAAAAGTAGAACAGGACTGGATAAAGTATGAACAAAGACTGGTGCACTCTTCCAAATTAGAACATTCTAAATGGGATACACAGATTCCTAAAGTATCATCTCTTTATAAGCCAGCCACATTTTTATATGAAAACACTATTTTGCACATGAGGAGCAGGCTTGAAAAAAGTAATTTTTCATTGATGAAATCTATCCAATTATTTTACCCAAACAGTGGAATTTCATAGATAAGTAAAATTCATAGACAGATTCTTAATAAAGTATAAGTACAGTGTGCT